TCTCTTCTACATCAACAATGTGTCCCCTCTTCTTCATGTCTCTTCTACAGTCAACATGTGTCCCCTCTTCTTCATGTGTCCTCTTCTACATCAACATGTGTGCCCCTCTTCTTCATGTCTCTTCCTACATCAACATGTGTCCCCTCTTCTTCATGTCTCTTCTACATCAAACATGTGTCCCCTCTTCTCATGTCTCTTCTACATCAACATGTGTCCCCTCTTCTTCATGTCTCTTCTACATCAACATGTGTCCCCTCTTCTTCATGTCTCCTCTACATCAACATGTGTCCCCTCTTCTTCATGTCTCTTCTACATCAACATGTGTCCCCCTCTTCTTCATGTCTCTTCTACATCAACATGTGTCCCCTCTTCTCCATGTCTCTTCTACATCAACATGTGTCCCCTCTTCTCCATGTCTCTTCTACATCAACATGTGTCCCCTCTTCTCCATCTCTCTTCTACATCAACATGTGTCCCCTCTTCTCCATGTCTCTTCTACATCAACATGTGTCCCCTCTTCTCCATGTCTCTTCTACATCAACATGTGTCCCTCTTCTCCATGTCCTCTTCTACATCAACATGTGTCCCCTCTTCTTCATGTCTCTTCTACATCAACATGTGTCCCCTCTTCTTCATGTCTCTTCTTCATCAACATGTTCCATCTTCTTCTGTCTTCTCATCAACATGTGTCCCCTCTTCTTCATGTCTCTTCTACATCAACATGTGTCCCCTCTTCTTCATGTCTCTCTACATCAACATGTGTCCCTCTTCTTCATGTCTCTTCTACAATCAACATGTGTCCCCTCTTCTTCATGTCTCTTCTACATCAACATGTGTCCCCTCTTCTTCATGTCTCTTCTACATCAACATGTGTCCCCTCTTCTTCATGTCTCTTCTACATCAACATGTGTCCCCTCTTCTTCATGTCTCTTCTACATCAACATGTGTCCCCTCTTCTTCATGTCTCTTCTACATCAACATGTGTCCCCTCTTCTTCATGTCTCTTCTTCATCAACATGTGTCCCCCTCTTCTCATGTCTCCTCTACATCAACATGTGTCCCCTCTTCTTCATGTCTCTTCTACATCAACATGTGTCCCCTCTTCTTCATGTCTCTTCTACATCAACATGTGTCCCCTCTTCTTCATGTCTCTTCTACATCAACATGTGTCCCCTCTTCTTCATGTCTCTTCTACATCAACATGTGTCCCCTCTTCTTCATGTCTCTTCAACATCAACATGTGTCCCCTCTTCTTCATGTCTCTTCTACATCAGCCCCCCCTTTGGAGAAAAAAAAAAGTCGGGCCCCCCCCAACACAAATAGTCAGGCTCAGTGGCGGCGCCAGATATTTCTTTTGGGGGTACTGTGGGGTAGCTTGACGTTCCATAGAGGGTACTCGAATATTTAGGGTTTCCCATTAATGTACCAGCGCTACAGAGGAATGTTCTACTGCAACACTCCCCACGCAAACACACAGTGTGACTGTTACAATGAAGGCTCGAGGCATATAGGTGTAAGCAGGGGTAAAGTGCTATTTTTACAGGTGGTGTGTGGACCTCACCTAGGGGGGTCCGGGGGCATGCTCCCCCGGGAAGATTTATTTTTAAATATTGAAGTTGAAAGCATCAATCTGGTGCACTTTGAGAGCAACATGAAGAGATCTATGGATACATCTCTCAACATCCATTTGAAACAGAACTGGAAACAGATTTACTTTTTCTTTATGGATATTTTACAAATCACTCCCCATTTAAACTTTATTCTTGTTTTACTGTCATATAGTATTTCATACCTGTTTTTAATTTCTTCTCTTATTTTTGTATAACTATAATGATCATATAAACGTGTGCCTCGGAAATAATTGTTTACATTAATGGTGACCAAAACGTTTGAGACCCACTGAGATAACACTGAGAGTCATTTAGCTCACTGAGTCTCTCAGTCTGACAGGAGAGGACTCTCCTCCACCTTGTTGTTGAAAAAACTTCTTATATCTGTTAGCGTAGCTCGCTAGCACCAGAAGCTAACATCAACGATATCTCTCTCTCTCTAAAACATCCAGAATTACCCGTCGGCCTTTACACAACTCTGACGAGGGGGGGGGGGGGAAGCATGCTCGTGTGCTGTCAAACGGGGGGGGGAACAGTTCACATGCGCCGTGTTATGCATGGCTGCTGCACCTCGCGGGAGCGTGCACAGCGTAAAGCCAAAACTCACAGACATTTCAATGATTTGTACGGCACAGTTAGGTTTGGAGGGCATGCATAACACGGCATAACACCGGAGCCTCGCTGCGGGGAAACGTTGGCGCTGTTCCGAGTTTGTTCTAATCCGTCAAAATGACGGACTGCTTTCAGATTTGTCCGTCATTGTTAAAAAAAATCCGTCATAGACGGAAAATATTCGGTTAACGCGACCTCTGGCCAGACGTGATAGTACTGTATCATATTGTTTTCGAATCAATCATTTTTCAAATTATTATTATTTTTTAAAATCTTTTTTTGAATAACCATTTTTCCCCCTGGTCTCTCGCGCCCCCCACTTTGGGAACCACCGCATTAGCCAATCAGCAACCAAGGTAACCCCCCCCCCCCCCCCCCTTATCACCTGAATCTCCTCCTAGAGCACCATTGAGTTCTTGTTAACCAAATGTCTCTCAGAGGGGCGTGGGGAGGGGCTCCTTATTTTCATCTAAAGTAACAGACAGAGAATCAGCACTTTGGAAACAGGGCTGAAACAGAGGGGATTATGGGTAATGCTGCAATGATCTGTTTGGTGTGTCAGCCAATCAGAGACAGGTTCTGTGTATATTTGAGACCTGTGATATATTGATGAAGAACAGGATGATAGGAGACCTTTAATGCATATCTTCTGCTTCTGGTTCATTGTTTTATGCAGATGTAATTACCAGCAACAAACAAGTAAATCAGGATGCTAATTTAAGAGCAGAATTTACTTTAACTTTAAGATCCACATTGCCTGAAACAAATATCGGATCTTATGTTTTCTATCGACTTGGTCCCGAGTAAACTGAATCTAAACTTCAGGCCTAAGAACTAAGTATAAGAAATGTCGCTTACATTTTTTGGGGAATCAGCCGAAAATGACTTACAGAAAAGTAGACGATTGAAAATGCATTTTGAAGAAGGAAGGAGTGCGTATTCCCTATTTCGGGTTCCTGCACCTTCTGAAAAAGTATGTTCAGGGACTTTCCGAGTCCAATTTGGTGAATTACAAAGATCCAACACGGAACAGATCGAGACGCAGATTCAAATGTATTATAGTTGCTGCACAGAGAAGTGTTATAAAGACATTTAGAAGCTCACCATAGACTTTCAATCATGAATGCATGCTTTGAAGGCCGGTGACAAAGAATCAATGGACATAAATGTAACAACACTTGAAATGTAATTACAAACATTTCTACAGTATATCTAACTTAAAGAAAATAAAGAGAAAAGGCATTGATTTTATACTGTGTGTGTGTGTGTGTGTGTGTGTGTGTGTGTGTGTGTGTGTGTGTGTGGGTGTGTGTGTGTGTGTGTGTGTGTGTGTGTGTGTGTGGGTGTGTGTGTGTGTGTGTGTGTGTGTGTGTGTGTGTGTGTGTGTGTGTGTGTGTGTGTGTGTGTGTGTGTGTGTGTGTGTGTGTGTGTGTGTGTGTGTGTGTGACATCATCACTTTGGGAATGCCGAGCTTGAGACGGAAGGCTGGGAACACCGCTCGGAGAAGTTTGTTATTCCAGGTCTCACACACACACACACAACTTACAATGTGAAGGAATGCATACAAGCACACATACATGTGCAGTTACACACACACACACACACACACACACACACACACACACACACACACACACACACACACACACACACACACACACACACAATGAGTAGTTTGTTATTTCAAGCCGGGTAAAGGGTCTCTGTGGAGCCGTTAGCGATAGAGTAAACAGAAGCTAAGTTGCATTTTCCCACCAGCCCTCAATTAACCTTGGAAGTGACACACACACACACAAACACACACACACACTCACACACACAAATACACACCCTGTACAGACACACCACCCATGGAGACCTTTTCAATTAGCGTCCATTCCCAGCAGCCCATTAGCTCATGTAAACAGCAACACAAACAGCCCAGGGTTGTGTGTGTGTGTGTGTGTGTGTGTGTGTGTGTGTGTGTGTGTGTGTGTGTGTGTGTGTGTGTGTGTGTGTGTGTGTGTGTGTGTGTGTGTGTGTGTGTGTGTGTGTGTGGAGGGGAAGCAGTAGTAGTCACAGGGGTACATAAACACAAACCAAGACTGGGAAGAGGGGAACGAAAGGTTGTGAGATGTCAAATTTGGGGCAAAGAAAGGTAGAGTCCCTGAAAGTGGGGCTTTAGACTTTCAACATGAACACACACCATGCTTTTAATATGCATGACAACACACTAGTTACGTACAGTATGTCAGGAGTAAGTTGCAGTATGAGGATTAAGTGAGAAATGAAACGGGAATCAACACGTCCACAAGGACAACCAACCATAAGTTTACAGACAAACAGAAACACTCGTATTAATAATAAAGCATGATACCATGGAAGTTTAGACGCAGACAGATGGAAGGAAAGAAACTGATTAAGACACTTCGATACGGCAGGATTTAATACGAGGAGATACAGCTCAAAATGATCGAACACTGACTCCTCTGTCTGAGTACTAACTGAATGGTTAAGAGTTATGAGATGGAAAGAAAGCTCTTCCTCTTTGATAGTCGA